CTGATATTGGCAATTTATTTGTGTCTATCAGAAGATCTGCTTGTCTGACTTGATGAGTTTTTAGTATTTGATGTAGGATAATCTAAAAGGTGAACCTGAAATTCCTAAGAAGTTTATATGCAACTCGACGAACATTATGGCTAACCAGATTAATGCAAGTGAATACATATATGAACCATGAAAGATCAAAACTAAGCTACTAAACTGAGCTTGGTTGATTGTCACCACTGGATTACCAAAGTTTCAAAATCCATACCAAACAGTAATAATGCTATGATGTCAGAAAGGAGGGGATATGAAGGAAACCATGCTACTTCAGGCTGGAAAATCTTTAGAGATCAATTTCCTGAACCCAACCATGGTGGATGGGTACTGCAGGTGCTGAAGCCAACACAGTGAATAATTTGCTCTAAAGTGATGAAATTCCTATGCATGCATAACACGATATCCATCTCATATTTTATAAACTATATGTTCCATTACATGTTTGGTTTTTTTTCCCAGAAAATTAATTGACAACTTATTGAATCGTGATCCATTAGAGTGTTATTTGTCTCAATATTCAAAAGAAGTAGACTTTTATAATTAAGGCTTGAGGTTGTGCATTCTGCTTTGGCTAATTGTGAGTTACTTTTGATTTGCTTTAGGTACACATCTTTCTCTATGATTTTACCTCTTTTAGCAGTGGGGGTAACACCATTATTGTAAATTAAGAGGATATCTCAAGTTATTGTTAACAAGACAATGGAAATTGTTAATGCCACAACACTCTCCAGCCCTTTTGCTACTTCCTCTTTTGGTGCTTCTGCTTCTTTTGAAGTTCAAAGTTCAAAGTTCATCCAGAATACAGGTATCCTCATATAGATCACAAGTGGCTTGTCATTGTACCTTTTCTTTCAAATAATTAGTAAGGCTGGGAAGTGATGATTGTCAAGGCTGAGTAGGTGGATTTATAAAATGAGTTGCTACTTCCTTTGATTATAGTGTATTTGTGCACTATAAATGTCCTATTTGGTCTTTTTAAGTCCAGCTACTGAGACTTGTTGTTATTGTCAAGCAAAACACAGACATCGTGTTGGAGTAACACTCACTGGTCAGTTAACAGTTATACTAGAATAGAAAAGAAGGGCTGACTACACTTATATGGAGTTTGCATATGCGTTTGTGTTAGGTAGGAATTGCTTTCAATGTTGGATTCTTGTAAGGATAGGATTAAGGTGCACCCTTTTATGTTATGTTTGGATTCCTGGCACTCTGTGGTTTGTGAGAACGTACAAAATTAGTTTTACATTGAAATCGTGCTCCATATATCAATTTTAGAAAACGAATCCTTTGGTATCCTAATGCTCCCTGGAAGGATAATAAGAGAAGTGTTATAATAATGAGCTGTAATTTAAAACTGGAAAAACTGTAACCGAAGCGATCAGAGAAAAGAAATTGGGCTATAATGAAAAAAGAAATGGATACTTCTTTCTCCTCTGGTTAGCGTTAACAAACCCACTTATTTTGGCCCCCAGACCCTGAATGTCATCACTTCTCTATATGTTTTCTTTTACCTACGTATTTTCTCTGATGCTCTTCATATAGAATGTGTGTTATCATCTATCTGAGTGTTTCTTTAAGTTGATAATTTTGTAGTTCTTTCTGTACTTGGGTTATCTCTGTGTCTTTTGTGAAGTGAAAATACTTGTGTAATGAATGTACTTCTATTTATTTTTTTATTCCATATTGTTATGCTTAGATGTTGCCATTGTCAACTGAATTCTCTGCTTGTTGCCTTTTGTTCCTTTCTGTAACTTGACCATTTTTCCTGTTTCTAATTCACCTTATTCATGAAAGTTATAAAGATAGAAGCATCTGAGCATGTATAGGTAACGGCAAGGAAGCTCAAACTTGTTCGTAGCTGTGCAGGTCCAGTTCAAGGAAGGCATTTTTCAGCCTCCAGAGATATCCCCCTCCCTGGATCTGCCAGAAAAAGTTGACGTCTTCGGGCAGAAGATTGCTTGAAACCTGTACAGCAGACATGGAACCCCGTACAAGAGGCTGCTGCAAACATCGCTCGTTCCATCTCTGGCCAGCCACCTCTCAAAGTACCACTGCCTGGAAATAGAGCGGCGTCCCGGCTTCTGACAGCATACGTCGATAAAGATTTCAGAATCTCAAGAGGTGACGGTGGCTTGTTTGTCCTGGCCAAAGAAGGAAGCCCCTTGCTAGATCAGCTGTCATGAAATCACTGGGAACATAAAGCAATGGTGCCTACCTTCCTGTTCTTTAAGAGCATATTTTTGGGAATGGGGACTGCCATCACTCGTATGAACATCGATTTCATCGTCTTGCATGGGATCTGCAGATGTCGATTGGAATAATTCTGCATGTCTGATTTCCTCATCTACTTATCATGCAAATGATCATCATATGAATTTCTTAATTTTGATTTATCATAGCAATTTCATCGCATTTTGCTTATCAACATTTTGTGACCTCACTCCTGCTATATCAGTGAACTGCTGGAACATTAACATAATGAACCAAATGTTTCGGTTCATATTTAGGTTATCGGAGAAACAATCATGTATGCATGGGTTCTTTGGTATATCAAACATGCTACCATATAATCTTTGTCTACTTGTCTGCAAGGTTCTCGCGAGGGGGAGATAAAAGGCCAAGAAAGAAGAGGAGGTGGAATGGGAGCGAAGTAGACCTTCAAGTCAAAGGACACGAGTGTCATCTTCCTATTCTGCACCCACCACCCTTGACATCATCATCATCATCTCAGAAGAACTGCATTGCTGCCCCACAAGTCTCTCAGGTCTCATTCGAAACGCATGCTCCAATCCTTTTCCTATCTTCCATTTGATCGACAGTAAACTTCTGTCTTGTCTTCTCTCAAAATTTGAGATTATTTTTTTTTTTTTGTTGATAGAGAGACTGCTGCTGTCCATTAACGAAGTTGTTATCTTGATTGGCCGTGAAGTTTTTGCCCATAATAAGGGGATGGGAATGACAAGGTGGGGGATGAATGACAGGGACCGGTAGGTTCCAAGTCATCTTCGTCATGCAGATCGTGATATAGCCCCCATCAGTCATGTCGACTTCATCCGTAAATGCCTACGCTCTCAACCAGGACAGCTCCAAAGCCACCAGCAAGCTCATCAACAGAGTTCGTCGATCAGAAGGCTTAACCGGTAGCCCAAAGAGTTGCACTACAATCTTATAGCATTCTTGATATGACCTGTCATAAATACTATCCCGCAAGATTTCACTATCATCTTACCTATTAGAAGCACAAACCCTTTACCAGCAAGCTTCAAATCCTATCCATCATCGAATCGACCTGAGCAGAGGCGTTGTGAGGATATATATATCCGAGTCAATACCAACTCTGTTGCAACATCCTGAAAACTCCTCACAGGACCACCGGTAATGATCGTGCATGGGGCATTCTAGTGATTTGACCCGTGTGATGTGTGTGATTCGCACAAATATTGATTGGATTGGATATGGTTGGATTGGCTTTGATAAGTATGCACCTATCACCCAACAATTTTTTTGAATAGATTGGTTCATCAGTTCGTATAGCCGAAATATTTCATTTCCATTGCAAAGCATACTAAACATTATGGGAAATCATTTTTTCTTATTACCGCACACAAAGTGACCGAAAATGAGGGCGATGCTGATTCATACACAAAATGCATGCGTGGAAAGATGACCCACAAAAAGAGACGGACATGTCGGTGGTGGACTAAATGGGTTTTGAGAATATATCAAGTGAGACGAGTCTTTGGAATTCATTCATGCCACAGAAATTTTCGAAATTCCATAGATTTACTATCATGAAATTAGTTAAAATTTTCTAAATCTCAAGTAACTCAAGCGTAACTCTCACGCTATCCAGAAGGACTTATGAAATAAAAAAATTAATTAGTTTCGAGAGTATGTAATTTGATAAGTCTTGACGAGTCGATTAAGATATAATATTTTAAATAATTTAATAAATATTTAAAAAGATAATTAAGAAATAAAAGATTTTAGATATTTTAAAAGACAATCGTAATTTTGATAACGATTGCCCAACCAAGTGTCGAATCACTTAACAAGTGTACATATAATTCGTATTACAAACTCATATTTTTCAAATTGATAATCAAAACTATCCCAAAAGTCCATCCAATCTTATGCTAAATGCATATGGTTGTCGCAAAACTTTATCATCGTAGTCATATCACTCTCATCATTTTCGTTATATTGCTTTGATCATGCTGCTCGTGAATAGGGGAGATGAGACTACAAACATTAATATTTGAATACTCATAGCAAGGTGGAGTAAGCTATGTTGAGACAGACACACACGATAGGCGACGACAAGAGATATTTAAAATATTAAAAAATATAAAGATATAAGATAAAAAAAAATAAAAAATAATGGTAAAAAACCCTAAATAAGAAAAATCATTAAAAGAAAAGTATCCGTTCTGTTGACTAAGATGTTGCAGCCGCACCAGCACCGTGAGTCATCACGGTATGTGACATTACACCCATGGATATGCCCGATCCATTGGGTGTACCTCGCGCCGAGAGGATAGCAAATCAGCAACTCCTCTGAAAGTTACCCCCAATCTCGTAATTGTACAAGGCAGCGGGGCGGGCCTTCGATCGTCAATCAGACACCTCCCAACCGCAGCCGCAACCCCGTCCCTATCATTAAACAAACCACGCGTGCGAGAGACGAAGAGACGACATCATCACGTGCACCAACAGAACCGACCCCTGCACGTGCGACGCTCCAATCGGCCACTCTTTCTCCGTCTCTTCGCTTGTCGTGAGTCCATGTCTATCTTCACAAGCTGACCGTCCGATCGACATCAGACGGGCACAGATCGTTCGATGCACGATAACGAGCAAACACAATATACAATGAATGATAAAAGCGTCTTCCGAAGCAATCCAAACTCATTAAACTCATTTTCATCTCCCCAACGTGTGTTGGAATTCGGAGATTTCAGATTTATGGAGTGATTGTTAGTTGCTTAATATTTACAACAGTAGCAGCGAATACTAACAACCCGATATAAACAGGGGGCGAAAAATCATCCACTCCTTCTCACCCGCGCCACAGCGGCGACCGCTCCTGCACCACCTTCGTCGTCGATTTCCGGTGCCGGAATGCCTTGATCGGGCTCGGGAAGTGCCACCTCCGCCCTTTCCCCCTTTCCCCATCCTCCCCACCGCCTGCGTCTTGCGCACGTCCCGCCGCCACGGACCTCGATCTGCACAGCTTCCCGTCCGCCGGTTCTTCCCTCGCCGGAACCCTCCATAATGCCCGTAATAGCGCCGACCGCTTGCCTCCTCCTGGCCTTGGCAGCGGCGCCACGTCGCTGACTGAAGAGGCCGCGGATCTGGAACTGAGAAACTGGAAGCCGACCGATCGGGACCGCCGGAAGGCCGGTTCGCTCTCGATGAGTCGCGACACGGGTCCCACCGTCCCGATCCCCGCGCCGTCGCCTCCTTGTCCGCTGGATCTGGCAAGCTCGGTGGAGGAGAGGGAGGAGAAGGACGAGGAGGAGGAGGAGTTGGAGGAGGGGAAGCAGCGGCAGGGGCGGACGTTGGCGCAATCCGGGCAGAGGCGGAGGAGACGGTCACGTAGACAGGCGGGGCATACGCCGTAACGGGGCTGGGAGGGATGTTTCCAGCATTTCCAGCCGGTCTCGTCCGCCCCCACCGCCACTTCCTCATTCTCCCCCCACCACAGAACCACCTCCGCCGCCGTCGATTTGCGATAGCCTCTCATCCCCCCGCCGCCCTGTGTCCCTCTCTCTCTCTCTCTCTCTCTCTCTCTCGCTCAAGCACTTGTCTGATGGCAGTGGCGTTGAGAGGTTTTTAGGAGGCTTTTGGGTGAGGACTCGAACACCCACTGCCCGTGGTCCTATTTATAGAGGCGGGGCGGTGACCAAGTTGCGAGTGGACCGCGGTTGACGGGAGCGAGATCAGGTTTATTCGCGCGGGTGCCGGCGGGGGTGAGGCTCTTCCTCTTCTCTAAACGCCATTTGCCTTTGCTTTTGTTACGAAACTACCACTACCAATATCTGACCGTTAGTTTCTAGTCGGCGGCATCAGAACCATCCATCGATCGATAAAGCCGGATCGGACGTCAGAGATCTCGTTCCGTGCTGCCGCGACGACGTCGGCCACGCTCGAATGGTGGGTCCCAGTGCAAGGTACGGCGTCGGGTGAGCCATGCACGCGTGGGGCCCCCTCAAAACACGAATGGCTTGAGTGAGTGAATGTGATACGACGTACCGTCGGCGTACGTTTCGTGCCCGCTGGGTGGCACCAGCAGTAGCGACGGGGTCATGGATTGACCCACCCACCCGCCGGTGAAAGCCAGATGGTTCGAACAGAACCCGCTTGAGCTGGAAGAACATGTCCGAAGCATCCCTCGACTTACTTTGAGCGCTTCGATTGAACTCCAGTGTGTGTATTTTATCTAAGCACTTGGATAAAGATACCAAGTACATTTTGAGTCCCTCCCATGATGTTTGTTCCCAATCTTAAGACATATCATATCGTTTGACTTACCATGGGTTCTCTACGGGATTCTGTATCGGTTCTTTCTCATCCTAAATAGTGGCATTTTTGTTTGCTTCCTCGTTCGGTCACTGTATCTGTAATGGTGAAGCAATGAAGAATGACATGAATGGTCTCGTGTTACAGGAATGGCCATCTTTTCTTTCATTGGAGGCCACAACATCACTGGCGGGCCACCGAAAGGAAACATTCTTCTTTGCCATCAAGAACTCTTTAGATGAAGAGAAAGAGATGTAACGTCAGGAGCAGCTTTGGATGAATCAGTAGATGGTCCCAACAGCGGTAACTTTGTGGTACATATATGCTGAAGGATCACTGTCCTCTCTTGGACGAACCACGCTGTGGAATGCTTTTGCTCTGTGCTTCTTTCGATCGAATGCAACGAATGGAGATGGGAGATCTAGAAAGCAGAGATTTGATATGACAGGCGTTGACGTAGTTGACGCTAATGTGACACAGTAAAGATGATTCACCGTGGAAGAGCCTTTTGTTTGTGCAGCAGCAGCAGCTGAGCAGCCCATCAGAGAAGATCACGTGGACATGGCTGCATTCATGCGTCAGAAGAAGAAGAAGAAGAAGATAAGAGTCGGGAGTTGCCTGCTCAGCAGAAACAGTAGGTTTCGTGCCCTTGTGGTGATGAAGGAAGGAGCAATCTTTCCCCTTTGTCCTCCCACCACTGCTGTTGCCACTACTACTACTATAGGGGAAGTAGTTGATGAGTTCTGACGTGCGTGCCATATATTCATTCTTATTGCAGATGGCAAGCACAGAGGCTTCGAGCTTCAGTTTGTTTCCATCTTCTTCACTCGTTATCACAATAACTCTACCAATGTAAATGCACAGATAAATAATTAGCATCATCGACTAAAAGAACTTGTATATAAGATCATATCCGAACAAAGTATACAACTACGAAGCCTCACAGTTGTCTTATATAAGGAGTACCGCATGACATTCCCAGTGTGCTGCCATCTTTCTCTTATGTACAACCAAACCGTGACACTTCACTCCTCAAATCAAGAACTAAGAAAAAGAGAGAACAAAAAGGAAAGGTAAAAGAAAAAAGAGAACTTGTAGGCTATAAACACATGCTCAAGGCTTCTGATGCTACTCTATGTTCGATTCACAGTATGGTTAGCCACTAATGTCGAAGGTATGCGGACTTGACGGTGGATTCAAGTGTCAGTGGAGCCACCAAACAGATTCAGAATAGTGTTGCCACGATGCAATTCTTTAGGAACAGGATTTTCTGTATTTTTTTTCTCCATGTCAGGAGAGGTAAGAGATAGAGAGAGACATGCCGACGTATCATCTTCGCTAAAGGTGGAACCAGACAGCTTATATAGTCCTCCCTTATCAACCGAAGGATGAAATGACGCAAATATTTCCTTCTTCAATGACTGCTTCTTACCACCCAGAGATAGTTCAAGATCTGGGGTATCAGGCTCTTGTGAGGCCTCATCGTCCCGAGAAATGAAGTACCCGAAGTTCTCCACCACATTGTTCCTAAGAGGGCATGCATCCACCGGAAAGAAGCTCCTTTCAGTGCATCTTAAGCTCTCAGTCATCACAATGCCATAGTTGACACCATATCTTTGCTGTTGTTCATGTAAGTAGCTAGTCACAAATGGTTGTACCTTAAATGGTGATCTACCATCGATACTATGATCTCTATGACTACCGGTACCATGTCCTTCGCTGTAATGTTTCATCCTTTTGTGTTCTAGGTCATCTTCTGAACAGAAATAACCTGCTTTCTCCTGCCAAGTATTTGCTCCATCAGTGCTCTGTGATGCTTCACCATATGTGGCTGAGCAAGTGTGTGCACGTTTCATATTAGGCTTTGATCCCCAGCTCAGGCAATCAATTTTCATTATATTGTCCTTAGTCCCAAATTCTATCACTGAGCATTCTTTCTCTTTAATCTTTCTTGTCCCTCCATTATCTGCTTTTTGAACAAGATAAAACATCAATAAGTATATATAAATATATATTTTATATGATGGATAAGACAAGAACTACCTAAAATATTTAGTAAAGAAAAATAACCTTGTCCAAAAGAAGAAGCTGAATATCCAAGCAATGATCCACTAAGGCTATGTCGTACACTATTTGCATGAATACCGGGAATCTTTCCAGCAACAGCAACATCATCCAAGTTCCCCTGCAAGCATACTGAATGCTCTTAACTTGTGATGTCATTTTGAGCAAAAATATAAAAAAGAACAGACATCATAGGGTGCAAACAGATTTCAAAATCATCAGTGGGATAAATAACTTGTACTAAATCATTTTATAGAAAAATATATTCATCATGAATCAGGTATTTGACATGTTTAGGACGCAAGAAATGTAATGCAGTAACAATATTACTAATACATAATTCTAATATAATATTTGTAAAATGCAAAGAAAAAGTGATCGCATGTTACTCATGGCTATGATGATACAACAACAGTGGGCCGCATTAAACATGCAAAGCATGATGCCAAAGCAGTGTACCAGGACATGATTTGCATAATCACTAGAAAGTGTGCTTCGATCTCTTCAAACTTTTGGGTTGCCTACTCTTCAGACTGTTAGCGAATGTACAAATTGATTTCTTGCCATGAACTTTGAATAACCTGAAATTGATTATATATATATATATATATATATATA